TCCCTAAATAGCGAATTCTTCCTGGGAAGGTATGAACATCGGAATGTTCTGTGATGATGGGCAGAAAGGTGTTAGCTGGTGGGAGAAGGAGCTAAGAATGGGAAAACGCAGGCAGGGCCAGAAGTCAGAAGGCACGCTACCAGATGGAACAGGGCTGGCTGGCACACCCAGTGTTGTGGGGTGCTGACAGTCTTAAAAGGATTCTCGGCTCCATTGTAAGATTAGCTATAAGGCTGCCACAGGCAACGCTTTCAGTCTTTAGAGAAACCTGCGGTTTTCTAAGAAAACCATCTAACTATTGTATCCTTAAATTATTTCATGTTAATTAGCTAAGAGAAAATAAAATCTCCATGTATTTGCACTTCGGCTCTCCTCTGTGGTCCAGCTGGTGGTTTTAGAAAAATATAGGCTATGGGCATCCACCCGGGAGAGGCCACATCCTTTTCCAGAAGTGATTTCACAGGGGGATGCTGGATCAGCAGATATGACTACAACACACAGTCCAAAATGGTCATAAACTTCTCTCAAAGTTTAGAGCACCTCCCAATGAAACTTGGTAAAAGCAAACACTAGAAAACAGAATTTGTCTAGGTATCTGAGTCACTGAAAAGGTTGCTTGGAAGGACTCAAAAATCCTCTTGCTCTGACTGCAGAAATACACTATTTTAAAAACCAGGTTTTGTTTGTTTGTTTAGAGAAAAAAAGAAGAAAAAGAAAATTAAATAAAACCCAGGTTTATATAGTTCTTGTCAGACACTCAGAGGAGCTCTTGAGTGCAGCAGTACTTCCTCAGGACTGATTTATAAGTTTTCATTTATTTATTTACTTGTTTACTTATAAGTTTATAAGATTCAGATTTTATTTCCAATTATTCTGCTAAAACTAAAGAATACATTAATTCTGGTTTTTCAGAGGAGTCTTCAACTTACCGAGGAAGATGCATCTTAAAAGTGTTGTAAATATTACTTTACCAACCATTGAGAGAAACGTAGTTCATGCTAAATGATAACAATAGCTCCCTCCACCAGCCCTTATGAGGTGCATGTTTGATACCTCTCTTAGCTTCACGGAATAAACACAAAGTGACATGCTTAGTAACAAATATTTGAAACCTACTTTAATATATATATATATATATATATATATATATATATAAAAGTAGTATACTTTAGTAGTATATATAAAGTAGTATACTTTAGTAGTATATATAAGGTAGTATGCTTTAGTAGTATATATTTATATATATATAGATATAAAAATTCTCTATAGATGATATCTATATCTACACCTATATTTATATATAAAACCAAATAGGACACAGTTTAGTGATATCAGTGGTGGAAAAAAATTCTGATTACTAAAGACTTCATATTTAAGTCATGGGCTCTCTCTTGTAGTCAAGAATTAGTAACTAGTTCTCCTCTTAAAAATCCCTTTGGGGAGCCTGGCTGGCCCAGTTGGAAGAGCATGCAGACTCTTGATCTTAGGGCTGTTGAGTTCAAGCCCCACGCTTGGTGTAGAGATTAAATAAACAAACTAAAAAAAAAAAAAAAAAAATCCCTTATTAGGCAATTAATTACTCAGTACACTTACTATGCATTTTCAGAATATAAATCAACAAACAGGGCTATGCTTCTAATAATGGTATCTATACATTATAGCAAAGTATAACTTCAGTGTTTTGATGATGTAGAATAGCTGAAAGTATTTCTGCTACTTGGTTGTTTTTCAGAAAAGGCTTATAGACCTGTTAGGAGAGTAGCTGCAACATTTTCACTGTTGTAACAGACTTATTTTAGTGCCAGAAAATAGACACTCATTTTGGGAAAATGTCTTCCTCCTAAATTATCATTAATAATACTTATGCAAAAATAAAAGTTCCCAGGCCATCGGTTCACAGGAATTGTTTTTTTCCTAAATAAATTGGTCTACCTTACTTATTACATATTTTGCTTATCATTGTCAACTAGTCATTACCTATATACATACGGTATATATTTACATATGGATGCCTGGGCACACGTGTATATACACTGTTTTGGAAGATGACTGAAGACATTTATTTATTTAAATATTTATGTAGTTTGAGAGAAAGAGAGAGAGAGAGAGATGAAGCAGGCAGGGGGAGGGGCATAGGTTGAGGGATAGAATCTGGAGCAGAGTCCCAGCTAAGCAGAGAGACCCACAGGGGACTCGATCCCATGACCCTGAGGATCATGACCTGAGCTGAAGTCAAGAGTCGGACACTTAACAGGCTGAGCCACCCAGGCGCCCTGACCTTTTTTTTTTAAATTTAAAATGAACATAACACTCATAGAAAATTGGATAAAACCCAATAAAATCTTATTTTAAAACAAATGTTTATCAAATCTTTATTTCTGAACACTTTACAAATTCTTCCGCACTTTGAAAATCTACAGTGATCATTGAGTTACACACCGAACACCAGAATCGAGGCAAGGTAGGCTGCTTGCCTCCTTGAGCTACACTTCAATTGCCCTGCCTAGACACATTAACTCACTGGCCACCTCCTTCTTTTTCTTTCTGAGAAGGGTAAAGTATCCTTGAAGACTTGCTACTTTTGTGACCAGAGAGTTTTATATTTATGGAAAACCTAAAAACCAGAGAAAGCCCACAAAATAACAGTCATTTGAAGCCAAAGACAATGCATTTTTTTTCTCATTTATTCAAATTCACTGCAGGAAGTAAACACTAAAAGATTAAAAAACAAAACAAAAAAATTCACACTGCAGTATGTACAGTTCCATGACATCACATGAAGAAATTAAATTTCTAATAAAAATGACAAATTATATTACTAAGCAGATCGCATCAAAATTGGTTGTGTAAACCCCAGAATTCATCTCATGAGTGGTAATGTGCCTGTATTCCAGCATACTGGGATACTCCTGGTATAACAGTCCATTTCCAATGGGATTAAAAAATTCGTGAAAGTAGTTGTGTGAACTTGTCATGTTGAAAAGTGGTTGATTTGATTTTAAAAAGTTTTAAGACCCTTGGATTCAAAGCACATTCTTCCACAAAGCTTAAACCACAGAAGTCATATCCAAAAATGGAATACTGTCATGTTGGGATGAACATCTGATCTGACTTAAGACATTTTGCCAAATGCACAGATGCACAGGGTCCCCCATGCATTTTTCATGCAGCAGGTAATCACAACTTAAATAAAAGGTTTATTCTATACATTTGTCCAGACTTGCAACTGTATACATACATGCACAAATTTTAAACCTGTCTGATTATATTTACACTTATACATGGAATATACAGAAACCAAAGAGATTAAAAGGCTTTTCTGTTGCATTAGAACAATACAAAATATGTATTTTTCATTAAGGAAATCACTATTTACATCACCTTTAAAAACTGATTTTAACATCTTCGTGTAACAAGTCAATATATATATATATACATATTTTATATATATATATATATATATATAAAATATATACTCTCACCAGTTTACTCTTCTGTAACATGTACCAGAGAATAAACAGGTAATGCTACCTTACTGTTGTCAATGAGAGCTGTAGTACCCTTTCACAAATGACTTCATTGGGAAGAAATTCTCTAGTATCTAAAATAGTCCTTGAAAATGTGTATATGTGCATCCTTGTATCTACATATGCATAAACAAAGTGAATTTATGGATGTGTGCCCTTTCTCACTGTTCTTCTTTAAGATCACCCTAAATTCAAATTGGGGACATTCTCTAGTAAATCAGAACATCATTTTTCTGGTCATGTTTAGCTACGTATTATATATCATCATTCCTTTAACTGTGAACGACGACAACAACAACAAAAACAACCAACCAACCAAAGGAACAAACAAAAAATATAGCAATGCTGGCCCTCAATGTTCATTCCCCTGACCTAATTCCCTCCCTTGTGAAAGCCCATTTTCCCTCGACCAAAGGAGAATACCAACAATTTTTCTAGCATACCTCTAAGGCTCCATATCTTTAATAATGTAGCAGGAAAAAAAAATGACTTGCTTAAAAGCTTATTTATATGATATAGACAATAAGATTGTCACAAAGTCGATATGGGATGGAGTAGAATATGTTCACTGGCCAGTGGGATTTTCACTTCAGAATAAGTGTACGCCTTCATCTCTCCAAGATGTAGCGTAATACTCATTCCTATTGTTTTATAATATAATCCAGTAACTATTTACAAATCATTTTGAGAAAAAATAATCATTTAGGGTTTTAATTCATATTAGGAAATAACGCCCATTTTTAATATAAAAATCTTAGAAACAACTTCAAGTAGAACAACTTCAAATAGATTTCCTTCTAATTAATAGTTGATTATATAACAATTTGTTGATAGGTCAGTTGCAAACCTGGTTCACTTTTAAAAACAAAAATATTATCTGGTGAGTGAATTGTGGGCCGTGAAAGCTGAACTTAAACATATGGACTTGTTTCGAGATCAAAACCCCATGTGGTTCTTCCAAGATAATATCAATGTTTACTTCTAATTGCAATTTTAAAATAATAGGTCCACTGGAGTGATCGTGTACAACTCTGTCATGTCTATGTGCCCTTTGTACTTCTCTGTCTAGTCAATCTGAGTTTAGTGCCTTCCTTGGGTTTGAAATGTTTTCATCTTTGTCAGCAATGATCTTAGGACAATGATTTTAATAGAAACTAAGGATGTATTCAGGAGAAGTTTCCAGACCATCCTGGAATCACCTGAGTTTGGTAAGTGGCCCTGTTATACCATCCCTAAGGCTAATTAAGTAGATGTTACTCATTAGAACACATAAATAATCACAGATTTTCCTGAGATGTTGAGCCAGATATGAAAGTTGTCCCCTCCACCCAATTTTTTTTTTTGTCATAAAAAGTATTTCGAACCCGATTTTCCAAAGACAGAACGGTTATATATGAACTAAAATATTGCAAATTTTGAGTTGATGTATTACTGTACTGGGGAAAATATAGGCATCAAATAGTTGTTGTTTTTTTTTTCTTTTTTTCTTTGTTTTTTTACAATCCTGTGTTCTGAGAAAAGTCATAAGCAATGGTTCTCAAACTTCAGCATGCAGAAGAAACATCTAGGGAGTGTGTTAAGATGCAGGTGGGAGATTCCCGGGTCCACTTAGCAGAGCTTCTTGATCTGTAGATCTGAGATGCCGCCTAGGAATCTGCATTTTAAAACAAGGGCTCCAGATGATTCTAATGCAAGTGGTCTGAGTCCAGCTTTTAAGAAACCCTGGTCGTAAGACTCACAGGTACCACAGAAATGGTGAGAAGTGACTTTTACAAGAGATGGTGAAAGCTGTCCAAAGAAAAGCCATTTTGCTTCTGTTAAAAACAACTTCTTAAATATTCACCTATTCAGGAAACCACCTGAAGGTAAATGGTTAACTTTCCTAATTCTGTAAAAGGAGGAATATTAATTTAGTAAAGTAGCTAAAATACAAAAATGGAAATCTGCCTTTTTTGAAGGATCTATCAAACTCCCATCAATTGTAATCAATTTTTACTAAGTAGTACAAGGTTTAAAGAAATAGATATTGAAAAGGACTGGGGTGGGGCAGACACATTGGGAACCACAAAACCCCTTCCAAGAGTTAAAAATAAATATGTTTTTTAGCAAAAGTGAAAAATGTAAGCATATTCTTTTTCTAATTTGTTTCTGAATCAGATCATGAAAAGTGAATTAGGTTTTTTTTACTCAATAATTAACATTTCAAGAGTTATTTAACAATTTGGATTTAAAAACAAATGTGTTATGCAGGCTGACTTCTGAAAAGCAAAATAAAGTACCCTAATAAAGGCAGCAAAATGCGTTAATCCACTATGGATGGAGATATACATTTCCATTTATGCCTGTTATCTGAATATAAAAGAATTTCATTCATAGGCTACTCACAGTTGTTGTCTGATGCATACAGAGTGTTAAACAACCAATTGCTAGTTCAGTAGTTTCCTCATGACATCTAACGTAAAGCAAAAAGCAGTATGCATATTTAAACATCACCAGTAACCAATACTTTTCAAAATGAAAAAAGTTTCAATTATACCATGCTTTTCTCAAATCATGCTCTTATTTATACAGATCGCAAGTTCATACTAAGCAGTTTTAAAAAGATCCGAAGCTGGATGGCAGGTACGTTTTATTCTGATTCTTTTTTTATTGTTAGCACGTTTCCCAACAGTCCGTAAACTTCTCCGTCGGCGTTGTGTGGACGAGAGGCGTTACTCCCCATATGGCTATTATATGGGCTTCTTAGATTAAAGAAAGAAGCTTTAGTTTCTGCGGTGGGAAGTAACTCTTCTTTGACTGTAACCTGTGAGACACTTTCGGCAGGTGCAGGCTCCCTCCAAATGTCCTTGTCCTGCGTCTCTCGACTGGTAACAGCACTGCCTCCCTTCTGAAGCATGTAATACAGTATTGGGTTAGTTTTGGTCAGCCTGGGACAGTCTTTCTCATACTCATTCTTATCCGCATCTGTGATAACCCACTTAATGGGTCCCTTCTCACCAGTCACGGAACACCCGTTCAAAAGCCCAGATTCTGGTCTAGACCCTGCACAGCCCAAGTGCTCGGGGAAAGGGGGACTCATGGGAGATTTCACTACTCCTGGGTACGGAAATGTCCTGCTATCCATGCAGCCGCCGGGCTGAGGGGAACCGTACATCAGTCCATTCAGAGAAGAAATGCTGAATTCAGGTTTGCTATTGGTCACGTTATTTTTGTGTCCTTTCTTTTTACTCTCGACGACAGAGTTACTCCTGTGCTGGGACAAATCTCTTACACAGTTTTCTGAGAGAAGCAGCTGCTTCAGGACATTGAAGCTTTTGCTCTCCCTGGCCCAACTCCTATGTTCACTTTCGGGGGCTGCACCATGACTGGCAGGGTACTTAAGTTCAAGATCATTTTTGCTCAATTTCAGCTCTTGCTGGCTAAGCAAGGACCCATACAGTCCTTCTGTGGCACTGTGACTATTTGCTGCGTCGACGATGTTATTTTTCATCTTCTTAAATGGGTTTTCTAAAGGCTCAGTATGGAGCTTCCTTTTCTTAGGGACCATGCAAAGGTTCTTTGATTCTAGAATTGTCAGTTCACTGTTTCTGTGACTGTTGTCCAGATCTTCCGCCAGGTAACTCTCTTGATTTTGTCTTAGCAGTCGACTCAACAGACCGTTCTTTGAGAAAGAAAAATCCTGAGGTGAAACGGGCTCCGATTTAAAGTCCTCGGACATGGGTAAGGCAGCTGCGCTTCTCTGCACGGGAGGCACCAGACCCAAGAATGGGGCCCCCTTGGCGTCATGGGTCAAGTGCACATTTGAGTTGTGAGTATGTAAGTCATCGCAAGGCTCAGATTTGATTTTGACCATCAGTATTTGTTCACTTAAAGCTCTATCTGTGTGTTCCTGAGTACTTTCGTCTCTCACAGAAATCTTCTCTTTCTTTTCATTCTTCCCTTTGTTGGGGTTTCCCAGGAGCAGCTGGAGGACAGTGCGCCTTTCAAGCAGATTTTCTATTTCAGAACCAGAAAGTCCTGATTCGGGACCTGTTGCTTGGCTGCTCAACGCCTTGTTTTCCTCCACCGTGTTTGTTTTATTTGCCAGCAGAGGACTGTTTAATCTGTCAACCACGCCCACGGGTCTCTCTGTGTTTATACTTAGCAGCTGCCTGCTGGGTCTCTGCTCTTCTCCTGAGGTGGACTGCATTCCACACTGAGCTAAGTTCTGTAACAGTTTACTGGCACTGAAAGTTGCGGAGTTTTGCGCGCCTTCATTCTGCACGGGTTTCTCTCCGTGCGACTCATTGCTCTTTGTCAGGTCCATCAAGTGGCTGGATGCGGCACTGGCTGGCTTTTCAGACTGAGAGCCGCAGGCGTATGGCGGGGAATTCCATTTGATGACCAGAGAGTGTTGGGAGAGATTGATGGGAGACTCTGGTTTTGTGGAGCCGAGTAATGGAGGAGTGCTCACGGGGGTAGTCCTGTTTGCACTGGGGCTTTCGATGACCGAAGTCCTCGTGTAATTCTGAGTACTGAACTTGGGCACATCGCTGGGAACTTCCTGAGGACTGCTGTTTCTTTCTACGTTTTCTTCATTCTTATGGCCAAGGAGCAACTGAAGAAGTGTTACTTTCTGGTGTGAATTTAGCTTAGAATTCCTTGAGGTATCTTGATCTTCTTTGATATCTACGGTGGTGGGGACTTTGGGATCCCAGGTATTTAGCAAGGACTGAGTTAAATTATCGAGGGAAACAGGCTGGTCAGGTTCCGGTTTCTCAATTCGATGTTTGCATGACAAGTCTATGGGCACACAGTTGGAGTAAGAACTTTCATCGCCACTGCTGTCATCTGTGAAACTAGGGTTGTTATCAGAGTACTCATCGATAGTTGTGGGCGTACTACTGTCCTCGAAAATGCCTCCTCTCTCACTATGGTGGTGTCCGTTCATTGGCTTTGGTATGGTCTGGCTTTTAAGAAGATGTAATAGCAAACTGTTACTAGCAGCTTGTTTGATATTGTTTCTTTCCAGTGAGTTCTTATAGCCTGCATTCTTGGGGGAAGAAGGAACGACACCCATTGGATTTTGGAATGCCGTATTTTTGCTCGCCATTAGTTTGCTCGACGATGTTCTTGCCTGACCATTGAGATGGCTCGACATTCCTTTCGAGAGCTGGAAACTACCAACATCCTTCTGGCCGTTTTCTTGTAATCTGGCCATGGCAGCAAGTCTTTCACTTGCTGCTTGATTTGCATTTTGTGTTTTTAAAGCATGTTCCCGAGAATACTGCTGCAAATGGGCTTCACTTGAGAGGAGTAACGCTAACTGGCTACAAGCAACACTAGGTTTGGGTGAAGTGGCCGGACTAGCCCTTTTTTCCACCATGCTTGCGACAGCCTGTAATCGGGCAGCACATGACAACGGTTCACTCATGACCTTTGTCCCGCTTTGTCCAACATGATGTGGCGACTCCACAAACCTGTCTCTGATGAGGTTTTTAGTTACATCGGGAAGATTGGTATCAGGCTTTTGATCTTTAGCTTTACTTTTCTTCAACAAAGTTTTTAAGTGACTTGACGCAACACCGTAGCACCTTAAATCTTTCTCTACTTTTAAAGAATCATGACCGAGTGCGTATCCTTGCTCCTTGAGGCTCTGCCTAATTTGTTGCGACAGAGCAACGGTCTGCAGCCTAGAGCTGAATGACTGAAGCAAAGAGGCCAGTAATGTGCTATCTTGTTTGCCTTTAGGCACATTGTCAACCATGCCAGCTAGCAAAGCTTCCTTCTTCACGTTTAAATTTACGATGGAATCAGACAGCCTCTTCCGCTTCGCGGCATTCCAGTCCTCCGAAGACTGCAAGAGTCTGGCTTTTTTGAGATGCAGCATGCCAGATCCCTGATAGGACTGTGCATTGAGAACTGGACCATTACTTTGACAGGTGGGAAATGCATTACCAGAAATGTTAAAGTTCTGATCCTCTTCATTATGCCCAGCAGACTTTTTGTCAACAGCAGTACCTGATCCCTCTGCTGCCTGATGCATTAGTAATCCTTCTAGGTAAGTTAAAACAATAGAATCCTGGTGCACATCAGAGCCAAGCTCTTCTCCATGAGTCATGTTCAATAGAAGTGTTCACAAGAGCTTGGTTTCTATTCACGTTAAAGAATGGTTTTCTGGGGGTGAGTGAGATGTAACTTTAAAAAGTGACTGCCAGTTTATCACCTTCCATAGTAATCAGGCAGAGATGCCCTGTGACATTCCAACCAGGATTTCCTCTGGCAACGACAAGGTGAAAGATAGGCAAATTCCAAAGGAGCCTGACCACAGGGCTGATCGACTCCTAAGCAAGAAGGAGCAGAAGAATTCCTCAGGACATAGGTCTGCAGCAGCAAGCATAGAGAATCCTCAGCGAATATACTGCTTCTCCTTCTTCATCTTTTGTGTCCAATTAAATGCAAATAGCAGTGTTCTAGGAAAAGAAAAAAAAAAAAGTTAAGAAGGGACAGAACTCGTGTTATGCTATCGGTAAGCAAAAGAATCTAGTATTTGTAAGTTTCTACATATGTGTGTGTAAAACATACTTACATATGTAAAACATAAGGTACATACACATATATGCATTGTAGACAGTTCTCTGGTAACATATTTTGCAATTCCTATTAAACCGCAAATTGCCACTGGAGATCCTATGAATCAATCCACATTGCAAATCAATTAGGGAAAATACTTTGGCATTATGTAACCGTCTTCCAAAGCACACCAAGTTTCTGAATTTTCATGAGCACTTTGCACAGAGTAATATGAATGCTAAGTCTCTTTTATAGTGATGTAGCTCTATAAGGGAGCTAGAATTAGCCTTCTTATTTTACTGGGAGCTTATGAAGGAACAAAAGCAGAGGTGCAGAAAAGAAAAGAGATCATGTGACATGGACTCATCTGATGAGCCGGGTGTAGGGTTGAGTACTACTTCTGATAGCATCCTTGAAACATTGCAAATTCCGTTAAGTCATCTGTAGGATTTCTGTTTTCTATGAAATGGAAGACTGACAAGTATAAGTATCTTACAGGCCTATGCAAAGTGTGACAGTCTTAGTCATATTCATAAACACTGAAGCATAATCAAAGCTTCGTTTTTACCATGACCTATTAAAAACAGAAGAGAGTGATTCTCTACATGCTCATCAAGTCTATCAGAGGTTTAATGTATCCAATTTAAATCTTCACTCATTGCTCTATGTAAAAATTTTAATGTGAGGTCCATTCCTAGCAGATGAAGAAGACAGGTTATGGATGAACCTGTAATTCTAAATTTCTAGAATGTTCCTCATAGAAAATAACTCTTTTCCTCACCAATGCTATTTCTTTTTGTGTGACTTCATTATCAGTATAAATAAAGTATAAATAAACTATTATACATGATTTAAAAAATTTATAAGATTTTTTAAAATAAAAATCATTAATCTAGAAAAATGTGTCAAGGCACTTGTACCAATTTTTAGTTGAGAAAATGTGGTTACCATAATACATATAAACATTACCATGTGTATACAAGAGGTAATCACAGCACCCTGTAGAAAGTGGGTAGGAAACAAATTTAGAATAGACTTGAAGGGAAGATGAATAATTGCTTCCAGAAAATTCTAAGTCAATGTGGTTATTTTTCATTAATTTTTTGGGAAAGAAAACATAAACAGCACCATTATGAAACAGGGAGGAAAGACCTTCTTTTAACAGGAAGCCTGTTTTTTAATACGATGAATCTGTAAATCAAAGGCTAAATTTCCTGAGATGCTGCTTCAAGAGGCACTCAGTTGCAATACCTACCATAGTGCTAGCAAAAAATGAAATGCCGAAGAAAGTAGGAATTCTGAGACTACTTAAGGCTTGAATTCACTCAGATCCTACTATTAAAAACTCTTCAGGGAATTGAGTGAGCCAAATTTTTTCTGATAACTTCCTTTTCTTTCCTTTAAATAATTGAAGCAGGAGAAATCATTAACAATCCTTCCTAGCTTTCCCAAATCTTGCCTTTTCATATTTCCATTATAAAGAATACAACTTAATTGACAAATTTAGAAAGGAAACAAGAGGAGGCAAGGTGACTGAATATGGTACAGCTCCCAGACTACAGATATTAAGATATAATATAAAGTATTAGCACCACCTAATAAATAGACGCCCAGACGCCCCATCACATTATTTTTGAATCTTTGACATAGAGTTTGTTTGCTTTTTTTATTTTATATACAGGTTATTTAAGAACGCTGCCAGATGCTTAACACATATATTCAGTTAAAAATAACTAAATGTCAACACACTATTAAGAATTAGGCTTCTTGAGAGATTGATAAGCAATATATTTTAAAACCGGAATATTTTACAAAATACTGTGATTCAATGGCCTGTCAGTGGATCTACTTGCACGTCCATAATTTTGACAATGATTTATTAGAGCCTGTGTCTATTTAAAGATACTCAACGGGGGCACCTGGGTGGCTCAGTGGGTTAAAGCCTCTGCCTTCAGCTCAGGTCATGATCCCAGGGTCCTGGGATCGAGCCCCACATCATGCTCTCTGCTCCGCAGGGAACCTGCTTCCCCCTCTCTCTCTGCCTCTCTGCCTACTTGTGATCTCTGTCTGTCAAATAAATAAATAAATAAAATCTTAAAAAAAAAAAAAGATACTCAATGGTCTTTTCACAAATACAATAAAGAAGAGACTTTACTTATATGGCGTACACTTGCTAAGTGGTTTTGCAAAGGGAACAAAATTTTTCACAACATTTGGATTATGGGAGGTAAAAGAAAACCAAGAGCTTTGTAAAAGTAAGGAGGGTGCAGGAAAAAAAAAAGTAGAAAAAAGTAACAAATGAACAAATGAAGGCCTCACAAGTTTTGGAACTCTCGTGAGATTCTGTAAAGAAAACTTTAGTTTAGAAACTAAAATATGTTATATTAGTATACTATCTTTAAACATTAGGTTGGTAGATATGACAGGCAAAGCCAAGAAAGATTTAATGAACCCTAAAAATGCACATATATGAAGGAGAAAAAAATTAAACTTACCCAGTTATAGAGTAAAAGCTGATTGAATTGAAACTTAGTTGTCATTTTTATAATGTGGTGCCACAGAACTTTTAGAAAAACTGATTTTTAAAAAGTTCAGTGTAATCTTTTATAATATATCAAGAGGTGCCTTAATCTTCATTTTAGATTTATCATTCTAAATCAAAATCAGCTCTTTGTAATTTTAATGGATTTGTCTAACCTTCAGTATACCAAGAAAAATAGGCATCACCATTAGCATCTAAGTGCAACAAACATTTTATTAATATTTAAGTCAATTTATGAATAGTTAATAAAGTAAGAATGAAGGGATAATATAAAAAAACATCAGAATTTTAAGTAAGAATTTACACATTCTTAATTCCGTATCTTCCTGGTTTTGAAAGATAATGGTACCTGACAGCTCATCAACTGTCATGCAAGAACCTGGAAACATCCTTTAAGTACCAATTCCAGATTGGTCCATGTCTAAGGGGTAAGCTTTATCATCACCTCCGAGTCTTCTTTTTGTACTTGTATAATTCAAAATGTGTTACTTTAGAGAACTCTGAAAACTCATAATGACGCTGACTAGAGGACAGAAATCTTCCTTGTTTCATAATTGCAAAATATGTATTTTTTATTTTTAGACTTACTAACACCAATTATAATGACCAACCTAATGGATTATTTCATATCCATGTCATCTGTTTTCTTCCGATCTCTTTTATTACAAGCCAGCCTTCAATATTTGTCCACTTAATGATCATTTCAAATAAATTTGGACGTACCAACATCATAAAAGAATACTGTCGTACTTCCTTTGAGTAAAACAGAACAGTTGAGGTTCTTGTCACAAAATAGTGAGTTATGAAGCCCTTCTTATTGAAGTCAACTGACCAGATGAAATACTGTATTTCCTTTTTGTTTTTAAAACTATAGTGTTGTGGGAACAATGTGAGGTGATGGGTGTACTAACTAACTTTATTATGGTAATCATTTTGCTATATATGTGCATATCAATTCACCACACTGTAGACCTTAAACCTTCACAATGTTACTTGTTAATTATACCTCAATAAACCTGGAAAAATATAAAAGAACTATAACGTTGAACCATATTGTTCACTCACTGATTCCTGAGTTTGAAAAAATTCATTTAGGATGTTGTCATCTGAAGACCACGTGAGAGATGTTGCTTATACAGTCAATGTCACCATCATCATTCATGTCTGGAGTACCACTAATCATTCTCTTTGCAGTCATCCTCTGATTCATCTAATTGGAGCATCTTCCCAGGCCAACTTTCTTTTCTTTGACATTATAGATGGAAAATGGAAAATGCTGAATTTTCCATTGTGTTTACTAAAGACTTAGAACAGGAAGACTACAAAGACAGTGTCTCCAGACTTTTTAAACATTCATGAAAAATGATACAGAATTAATGGACTATGCAATAAGGAAACTGAAGATGATATAATGATGGCTTATTTCACTACTGCATCATCATTCTAGGCACTTCCATTATTTTCTCTTGGCTTATTCTTTTTAGTCTTTATTTGGCACAGTTGGAAATAAATAATGAATGAATTCTCAAGACCAGAAAATGGCAAAATACTTAATGGTATGGGAAAATTAAGGTCACTAAGATTCTGTAACATATCTTTGATTTGGTACATATAGTAATAGCAAGATAACTGTTCTTTTCCTATTAAAAACACATTGATTAAAATGTTAAAAGAAGAGTTAAAGGCATGCAATATAATCCTTCCTACTAGTTAGAAATAGTAAAAAAAAAAAAAACTTTCAAAAACTAACACCAGATCCAAAGAACCCTGCTTGACAGTATATCAAGGCTTAATGCAGTTCCTGACAATTTAATAAAATTCATGTAAAACTACTTTATAACATTAAAATTATAAACTGAATATTCCTTTTATTAACTGAAAATTATTTAGAAGCATGCAAATCTTTTAAATTTTATAAAGTTGACATTTTACTGCTCTAGCCAGTATATGGTAAAAAAAAATTATTGTTAGATTTAAAGATTTTATTTATTTATTTGACAGAGAGAGAGAGAGAGAGATCACAAGTAGGCAGAGAGGCAGGCAGAGAGAGGGGGAAGCAGGCTCACCGCTGAGCAGAGAGCCGGATGCAGGGCTCGATCCCAGGACCCTGAGATCATGACCTGAGCCGAAGGCAGAGGCTTAACCCACTGAGCCACCCACGTGACCCTATTGTTAGATTTAAAAAAATAAACTAAACTATTAAAGTAGTCCATGGAATCTTGACCATATGCACAAATCTGGGGAAAGATTCAAGTTTCAACACATAGGTTAGTTTAGTTAAATATCTATCTAGTAAAATGTGTGAATTCAGAGTGTAGTTTTTTTAAAGCTACATTTTCTTTTTTTTAAGTACCCGAA